ATGAACATGAACATGAACATGAACATGAACATGAACATGAACATGAAGTCAAATACGCTATAATTTGTGAACTGTTGAGCTGTGGGAGCATTGAGAAAAGTAATAAAGAAGCTATGGATTAAAGCTTCTATGAATATAAACAGAAGAATGAGATAAATTCTAACATTGCAAAGGTTAAGGGAAATCATCTTGACAATGGAGTGGATGCAAGAAAAGACCTCATCTCAGCATGCCAGGAATACAAGAGATTCCATATCTTCCATTTCATCTCAGATGGCAGCTGGGAAGGTTGCTGAAGTCAAGATTCTGCAGGAGCCCAGAAGGTTGAGTATACATCTTGTTGTCATAAAGTTTAGCTTCTCCATTCACATGTCAATAAGGCTACCACAGAGTGCACCAGCCTTTGAATTAATAGAGAATGCAGAAACATAGATGTTATTAGCATAATTTGTTCTCCAGTTAGTACAATTTGCAACTTCTCAGCTACTGAAGCAGTCAATGCCCGTAAGAAAGAAAGACATGGTCAACATTCAAACTTGGACTGAAAAGTGGCTTGTAATTCATGCTGCACAAGTGCCTGGAAATGACTATCTTCAGCAAACATTAACTGAAGCATATCTCAGACATTTAACAGCATTACTATCACTAAATTCCCTACTATCAGCATCTTGCTGTTACTAGTGACCAGAAACATAACTGGATCAGTCACATATAAATACTGTGGATACAAGAGTAGGTCAGAGACTGGGAATTCTGTAGCGAATAGTTCTCCTCCCTACTCCCTAAAGCCTGTCCACCATCTTTCAGTTAGCAGTGTGAAGGAATACTCTCCACTGACCAAGAGGAATGCAGCTCCAACAACACTTAAGAATATCAACCCTATGCAGTTCATCTGGATCAGCACCTTTGTACACCCTATACAAGATTCTTGCAGCAACTTGTCAAGACTCCTTTGACAGTACCTTCCAAACCCAAGACCTCCACTAGCTAAAACAAGGGCACCAGGTGCAAGGGAACACCAACACTTGCATGTTCCTCTTCAAGTGAGATATCATCCTGACTTGGAACCAAATTTCCATTTCTTTTACTGCTACTGAGTCAAAAACTTGTATTAGCAATCCTTATAGCACCGTGAATGTACCTTATTAGGGGAATTACAGGTAGCATGAAATGTTGGTCTTGCCAAAGATGCTCACTCTCTGTGAATGAATTTTTAAAATGTAGAAATTGACCTTACACTTTCTACCAAGAGAGATGTCAAGAGAGACTACGTAATTATGCACATAAAGGGGCCAATTTTTGAGTTCAAGAGTAAGCCAGAAAGTGAATCTCTGAACAGAGAAGTGAACATGAACCACAGTGGTTAGCACTGCTGCCTCACAGCGCCAAGGACTTGGATTTGATTCTGGTCTTGGACGACTGTGTGTGGAGTCTGCACATTCTCCCAGTGTCTGTGTGGGTTTCCTCCCACAGTCCAAAGATGTGCAGGCTAGTTGGATTGGCCGTGCTAAATTACCCCGTAGTATTTAGGGATGTCTAAATTCGGTGGGTTAAAGGAGGATGGATCTGGGTGGGATGCTCTGAGGGTCGGTGTGGACTTGTTGGGCTGAAGGGCCTGTTTCCACACTGTAGGAATTCTACAATTCTATGAAAGTCCTGGTCAGTTACACAATTGATAGGAAAAATCAGGAAAAATACACAGCCATAAGAAATGCATTGAACTTTCCTACCAGTACACAGTGATACATAGTATACAAAGAAAGTATATACAACAGATTTCAAGGCTAGTTTCGGGTTATCATACGCAGATGCCAACATTAACTAACGACCTTGGCACGTTCACACTCAACTTTCTCTCAAAGCTGTTAAATAAACATGTCTAATTACTTTAAGATGAAACTAAATTTTTATTCTAGTTAATGCGATCAAACAAATGCTTCATATATTTGTATCAATGTTGCCTCTTTTAAAAAAGCAGCTAAAATCACCACTGAACAAGCAGAGAATTTGATGAGTACATAAAGTATTTGCGCTGTACTCAAACGTGTGATATTCAATAGTCATTGCCAAGCCAAAAATGTTTTAGCCTGGAAGGAGATAAAACATCAAATTAACTGCAGTTATGCTTAAATTCCACTCAAGTTGTATTCTTTGAGAATACACCTCACTTCATTTTTAACACAATCTCTAGAAGGAAATAATCTATCCATGCTCTCCACTCTCGAATAGGTGTTTAAGATTCTTGCGACTAAGTAAAAAGCTAACAAAAATATATCCAAATGAGCTTGTAAATCCAATAATCTATTGAGTGAATCTTATCAATTACTGCAGTTTTGCTATCTTCAAGTACTGAGAGAAAAACATCCAGGTTATCAAAGGCCTCAATATTTTACAAAGAATAGATGAACGACACTGGTGTCATCAGTTCTGCTGCAGTCAAACAGCACTTTTCATATAGTTATAATTTGCTCCAAGTGTGCTAATAGAAAGAGTTTGAACAATTGAGAGCTGTATCTTTGTGACATTTTTCCCCAATTTTTACTGTCACTGCTTACCTCTCAATCACACAGGGGGAGCAGTTTTTCATGCGCCCCATACATTCCAATGCTGCCACATAGCATCCCAAACTTGGCTTCAACCCTGCTTCTTCCACCAGACTGAACAGGTTGCCAATTTGACTTAATGAACCCTGCAAGCAAAGCATGAGGTTACTTTTTTGATTGCTGGTCTTCAAGGAAAAAAAACAGAAACATTGCCAATCTAAGTTAAATAGTTGGAAAATAGACAAGAGAAGGAGGACCAAAATGTCAAAAGAGAAAATTAAAACAAAAAATATAAAATGTGTAACAAAAAGGGCAAAAATAAGCAGATGCAATTTACAACAAATTAAGAAAAAGAGTCGTTTCCTTCAAATTGACTCAGAACAGAGCATTAATTCTGAGGAGCTTCCAAGTGCTAGAAATAGACTAGGAATGTGGGTTGTTGAGCTGTCGAGTGTAGAAAAATATCAATTTTCCCTCAATGATCTTAAACTCTGACCCTAAACTCCATATTGCTCTTGCCAAATGCTGACACAACATCATAGAAAACACAACTGATCATCCTGACAAAAAAATCCTGATTATCCTCCCACTGTTTTGTCATGAAATGTTGTACTCATGAAGTCAAGAAATGTAAGTGTTGCAAAATGGAACAGTTTCTCCTTACAACACCCGTCAGTACAATGAACGCCAATGTCAGGTATGGCAAGGTCCAGTACCAAATGAACCCCTCTGTACTTTATCCCAACAAGGTATCCCAAAATCCTTCTGTAGGGCAGTTCCATTTTCCAGATCAGTCATATTGTGGACTGTTAGTAAAATAATTGATTAATGGCATACTAAGGGTACTATGTGAATTCCTGGCCACTAAGAACTAGATTGTGGTTAACGAAATGAAATGCCCATAAAAAGTCTGGAGCAGTCAGAAAAACACTTTATAAGATCATAAGATGTAGGAGCAGAGGTAGGCTATTCAACCCATCAGATCTGCTCAACCAATGAGATCACTGTTAATTGATAATTCTTAACTCCACTTTCCTGTCTTTTTCCCATAACCCTTGGTCCCCTTACCAATTAGAAATCTGTCCATCTCAGCTGTGAATATACTTAATGACTGTGGCTCGACAGTTTTCTGCAGATTTACTACTAAGAGAAATCCCTGTCTTAAGTGTGTGACTCCTTATTCAGAGATTACTCCCTCTGCTCCTGAGACTCTCCCACAAGAAAAAAAATTACTGTTCTACATCTACTCTGTTAAATCTCCTACAAATCTTGTGTTTCAATAAAATCACATCACATTTTTCTATATTCCGATGGGTACAGGGCCAATCTACTCAGTGTCTCTTCAGAAAATAGTCCCTCCATATCAGCTAACAGTCAAATGAACCTCCCCTGAACTGCCTCCAATGTCAGTATACCTTTCATAAGACCATAAGATATAGAAGCAGAAATTAGGCCATTCAGCCCATTGAGTTTGCTGCACCATTCAATCATGGCTGATAAGTTCCTCAACCCCATTCTCCCACTTTCTCCCCGTAACCCTTGATCAAGAACCTATCTCTGTCTTAAATGTACTCAATGACCTGGCCTCCACAGCCTTCTGTGGCAGTGAATTCCATAGATTCACCACTCTCTGGCTGAAGACGTTTCTCCTTATCTCCATTCTAATAGGTCTTCCCTTTACTCTAAGGCTGTGCCCTTGGGTCCTAGTCTCTCCTACAGATGAAAATATCTTCCCAACATCCACACTGTCCAGGCCATTCAGTATTCTGTAAGTTTTAATTAGATCGCCCCTCATCCTTCTAAACTCCGATGAGTATAGTCCCAGAGTCCTCAAACATTCCTCCTATGTTAAGCTTTTCATTCCTGGGACCGTTCTCGTGAACCTCCTCTGAACCCGCTCCACAGCCAGTACATCCTTCCTGAGATATGGGGCCCAAAGCTGCACACAATACGCCAAATGTGGCCTGGCCACAGCTTTATAAAGCCTCAGTAGTACATCCCTGCTTTTACATTCAAGTCCTCTCAAAAGAAACGCCAACATTGCATTTGCCTTCCTGACTACTGACTCAACCTGCAAGTTTACCTTGAGAGAATCCTGGACTAGAACTCCCAAGTCTCTTTGCACTCCAGACTTCTGAATTTTCTCCCCATTTAGAAAATAGTCAACGCTTTTATTCTTCTTACCAAAGTGCATGACCTCACACTTTCCCACGTTGTACTCCATCTGCCACTTCTTTGCCCACTCTCCTAATGTGTCCAAATCCTTCTGCAGCCTCCCCATGTCCTCAATATTACCTGTCCCTCTACCTATCTTTGTATCATCTGCAAACTTAGCCAGAATGCCCACAGTTCCTTCATCTAGATCACTGATGTATGAAGTGAAAAGTTGTGGTCCCAACACTGACCCTTGCAGAACACCACTTGTCACCAGCTGCCATCCTGAGAAAGATCCTTTTATCCACACTCTCTGCTTTCTGCCCGACAGCCAATCTTCTATCCATACTAGCACCTTGCCTCTAACACCACAGGCCCTTATCTTACTCAGCAGCCTCCTGTGCAGCACCTTGTCAAAGGCCTTCTTGAAGTCCAGGCAGATAACATCCATTGGCTCTCCTTGGTCTAACCTGCTCGTTACTTCAAGGAATTCTAGCAGATTTGTCAGGCATGACATCCCCTTGATGAAACCATGCTGACTTTGCCCTATTTTACCAGATACTTTCAAATATTCAGAAATCACATCCTTTACAATGGACTCCAAAATCTGACCGAGGTTAGGCTAATCGGCCTGTAATTTTCCGTCTTTTGCCTTACTCCCTTTTCAAACAGGGGTGTCACGTTAGTGATTTTCCGGTCCTCTGGGACCCTCCCTGACTCGTGATTCCTGAAAGATCACCACTAACACTTCCACTATCTCTTCATCTATCTCATTTAGAACTCTGGGGTGTAATCCATCTGGTCCAGGTGATTTACCTACTTTCAGGCCAATCAGTTTTACTAGCACCTTTTCCTTGGCGATGGCCACCATACTCAGCTCTGCCCTGACTCTTTTGAATTTTTGGGATATTACTCATGTCTTCCACCGTGAAGACCGACACAAAGTAATTATTCATTTCTTCAGCCATTTCCTTGTTCCCAACTACTATCTCTCCACCATTTTCCAGTGGTCCAATGTCCACTTTTGCCTCTCTTTTGCCCTTTATATACCTAAATAAACTCTTACAGTCTTCATTTATATTACTGGCTAGCTTACCCTCATATTTAATCTTCTCCCTCATTTTTTTTTGTTGCCCTCTGTTGGTCTTTGTTAGCTTTCCAGTCCTCTGGTTTCTCACTGCCCTTCTTCACATTATATGCTTTCTCTTTTACTTTTATGTTATCCCGGACTTCCTTAGTCAACCACGGTTGCCTCATCCTCCCTGTACCATGCTTCTTTTTCCTAGGGATGAATTTTTGCTGGGTCTCCTGAATTACTCCCAGAAACTCCTGCCATTGCTGTTCCACTGTCTTTCCAGCTAGGCTCCTCGCTCATACCTCTGTAGTCACCTTTATTTCAGCTGTAATACCGTTAGCTCTGATTCTATCATCTTATGATCACTGCCTCCTAAGGATTCCTTTACCTTAAGCTCCCTTATAAAGGCTGCCTCATTGCACAACACTAAATCCAGTATTGCCTGTTCCCTTGTGGGCTCCACAACGAGCTGCTCCAAAAAGCCATCTTGTAGACATTCCACAAACTCCTTTTCTTGCAATCCACTACCAACATGATTTTCCCAGTCCACCTGCATATTGAAATCCCCCATGATCACTGTGACTTCGCATTTCTTACACACCTTTTCTATTTCCTGAAGTATCTTGCGCCCCAGCTCCTGACTACTGTTTGGAGGCCGGTACACAACTCCAACTATGGTTTTTTTTTTAAACCTTTGCGGTTCCTCAATTCTACCCACACAGATTCTACACCATCTGACCCTACTTCATTTCTTCCTATTGATTTAATTTCATTTCTTACTAATAAGGCAACTCCACCCCCTTGGCCGACCTGCCTATCTTTTCGATAGGATGTATATCCTTGGATATTCAGTTCCCAATCCTGATCCCCTTGCAGCCACATCTCCGTGATGCCCACCACGTCATAGCTGCCAATTTCGATCTGCGCCACAAGCTCATTTACCTTATTCCTTATACTGCGTGCATTCAGATATAATACCTTCAATCCTGTATTAACTGTCCCTCTTCTCATTGTCATTAGTTTTTCCAGTGTTTGATTGCTAGACCTTTCCAAACACTGTGTACTATTTGTCTGTGCTGGAGACTTTAATAACCTCTCCTGAGTTCTTCTTCCCTTTCATATTTTTCCACGTAGTTGAATCCACCACTACAGATGTTAACCTGCTGCTTTGTTTCTCACTGGGGCAAGTTTCACCATTCCCTTCCCACCCCTCTTTCTTGTTTAAAGTCCTGTTGACCAGCCTATTTACCCTTTTCGCTAGAACACTGGTCCCAGCTCGATTCAGGTGGAGACTATCCCAATGCACCAATGGTCCAGATCGCTCCTGTTCCAATACTGATGCCAGTGCCCCATGAAAAGGAACCTCCCTTTCCCACACCACTCTTTTAGCCATGTGTTTACTTTCCTTATTCTCATGTCCCTCTGCCAATTAGCACATCGCTCGGGCAGTAATCTGGAGATTATAACCCTTGAGGACCTGTTCTTTAATTTGGTTCCTAGCTCCTGATAATCTCTGAACAGGTCTTCTTTCCTCGTCTTGCCTATGTTGTTTGTTCTGGTGTGGACCACAACAACTGGATCCTCCCCCTCCTGATCCAATATCCTTTCAAACCAGTCAGAGATATCCCTTACCCTGGCACTGGGCAGGCAACACACCATGCGAGACTCGTGATCCTGCTTACAAAGGATACTATCTATCCCCTTAATTATAGAATTCCCAACTACCACTTGTCTTTTAGCTCCCCCCTCTTGAATGACCTCCTGTACCATGGTGCAGTGGTCAGGTGGCTCATCCTCCCTGCAGCCCTTTTCCTCATCCATACAGGGAGCAAGTACCTTGTACCTGTTGGACAAGGTCAAAAGCTCCTCTGTTCCTGACTGCAGGATCCCTCTCCTGCCTCGCTTACAGTCACACCTTGCTGTCCCTGGCTACTGACCAAATTTGAATTACTTAATCTATCAGGTGTGACTGCCTCCTGAAACAAAGCGTCCAAGTACTTCTCCCCCTCCCGGATGTGCCGCAGTGTATGAAGCTCCGATTCCAGCTCATCAACCCTGAGCCGAAGTTCCTTTAGCATCCAACACTTGCTGCAGATGTGGTCACTGCAGTTCGCAATGGGATCAGCCAGCTTCCACATCATGCAGCTACAACACATCACTTGTCCAGCCATTTCTACTTAGTTAATTACCTTAATAATTTATATAATTTATTATAATGAGTTAATTAAATTTGTTGATACTTCTTTCCTGGGTTCTTTTTCAAGTTTAGTGCAGATTCCCTACCAGCCAATCAGGTCACAGCCTCCCTGTGACATCAAGTCTTTTTTGCAGCTCGTGCCCCGAGTTCTGGTACTCTTATTCTCACCTCTGCTCTGCTGCTCCTCCCTCCGACAGCCAGCAGTCCCCGCGTGCTCTCTCCTGACGCTGAACCAAGAATTCCTTAGATAAGTATTCCAGCTGTGGCCTAAATAGTGTCTTGTGCAATTATAGCAAAATTTCCCTACTTTTATAATCCATTCCCTTTCAAAGAAAGGGCAACATTCAATCAGCTTTCCAATCACCTGCTGAATTTGGAAACTGGCTTTTTCTGATTCATGGATGAAGACTCCCAAATCTCTCTCTTCTGTAGCTTTCTATAGTCTTTCTCCATTTAAATAATATTTGGCTTATTCTTCCTGTAAAGTACATAACTCCAGTAGTTACAGGTTACCATCCTGAAAATGGTCCCCTTATCCAAACTCTGCCTTTTACTAGTTAGCTAATCCTCTACATGCTAATATACTAATTCCAATACATGGGCTCTACCTTATTAAGTAACCTAATATGTGGAAACTGTTTAATATCTTCTGCAAATCCGAATACATTACACCCACTGTTTCCTATTTATCTACTCCACTTGTTACCTCCTCAAAGAACAATAATAGATTTGTCAGGCATTATTTCTTTTCACAAAGCCATGCTGACTATGCTTGATCATATGATTTTAAATGCTCTGCTATTACATTCTTTCTAACATTTTCCCAATAACAGACATTAAGGTAACTGGTCTGTAGTAGCATGTTTATTGACTCCTTTCCTTTAAAAATAAAAAAGGCAATATTAGCAGTTTTCCAATCCTCTGGGACTTTTCCAGAATCTAAGGATTTCTTGAAGATTATTACCAGTGCACCCGCTATCTCTATAGCTATTTCCATGAAGAGGAAGCCAGCATGCTTTCAGGTAAGTAGCAATGCTGTTAATAAATTTGAAGTTAATAAAAAAAGGACACAGAAAGAGTACTTCAGAACAAATATTTTAAATAGCACAACTTTTCTTTCAAACGGTATTTACAAATTTACTAACCTTTTTAGCCCACAGATGCATTAAAACACTGTAAATCTTAATATTCAACTGCTTCCGGCGAGTAAGAATCCGATGATGAAACATGACACATTGATGAGCTCTGTCCAGATCATTAATGAACGCGCATGCCTCAACATAGCTTAAAATATTTCGCTGAGTGTCACCATATTTATTGCCTTCTTCATCTTCAAGCAGTTTAGCAGAAGGCTCCCAATTATTAAGCTGTTGGTCGAGGTTTTCCACTTCAGCAAGAACAGCTTCCACAGAAAAGTCATGTAATGCATTGGACTTTGCTTCTGGATTATTCATTACTGAATGTCTGGCTCTATGTGTCATTGGTGTCTTTACAACATTGTCTTTTGATGTACTTTTTCTACCTTTTGCAGTGGTTTTAACATCAGTAACACACCTAGTGCTTGACAGTGGTAGAGACTCTTTCGATTCTTTCATTTTTTTCACAATATTAAGCTGTCTCCTGGTTTTGTTACGTTTTTCTTTGTTTAGTTTTTCTATCCATTTGCTTGGAGTTGAGGTAGTTTTTGGAATTACTGGTTTGATGTGACATGTTTTTCCCATCTGTTCTCTGGCTACTTTTTCTTTTACAAGTGTGTCCGTGTTCACGTTAAGAGATTTATTAAATTCTTGATCTGGCAGAAAAGTAAGATTATTTGCATCATTGTGACTTTCATCATGAGTTACATTTAGTCGGTTCACAAACTGCACCTCTGTACATTTCACTTCAGTGATGTTATCTGCCTGAAGCTGTTGCATTCGAGCTTCGAGAACTGCCATGTGAAGCAAAGAAATTGAAAATTTAAAAATCTAATTTGAAACTTTGATCAGATACCTCAAGAAAAAAACAAGCAAACAAAATAGTCGATATGATCGAACAGAATACCACATAAGACACTTACAAAGTGACAATTCCGATACTTGCTAAGCAAAAATTACCTTGACCCCAAGTACAATGCCCCAATCAATAGCACAGCTTGCCAGTGAGGAATTGCAATTCTGACACAAACTACTCTGGTACTGTCACAACTGTGTACAAGGAAAAAGAAATCAGTCACGTGAGAAAGGAGGACATGAGACTGGAGCCTAAGAGGGTATAAGCAGACCTGCTTCATGAGAAAGGAGAGAAGACAACTTGCAGCAGAAGCAGAAGAAAGCAGTGGATCAGGAGAAAGAGTAGGAGACTGGTAGTCAGAGGATCAACTTATGCAGGGGACCCCAGAAGAGATAGGTAAGAAAGACTATCCAAGGAAGTGTGTGTCTTTCCAGAGTTATAATTAAATAAGCACAATTGAAAACTTACAAGAAACCTTCACACAATCTGTTAGAGTCATAGAAATATATAGCACGCAAACAGACGCTTCGGCCCAACTCATCCATGCCAACCAGATATCCTAAATAAATCTAGTTCCATTTGCCAACATTTGGCTCATATCCCTCTAAACTCTTCCTATTCATGTACCCATCCAGATGCTTTTTAAATCTTGTAATTGTACCAGCCCCCACCACTTCCTCTGGCAGCTCATTCCATACAAGTACCACCCTGTGTGAAAAAACTGCCCCTTAGATCCCTTTTAAATCTTTCCCCTCTCACATTAAACCTATGTCCTCTAGTTTTGGAATCTCCCACCCCAGGGAAACTACTTTGTCTATTTACCCTATCCATGCCCCTCATGATTTTATAAACCTCTATAAAAGGTCACCAATCAGCCTCCGATGTTCCAGGAAAATAGCCCCAGTCTATTCAGCTCTCCCTATAGCTCAAACCCTCCGACTCTTAAACATCTAGACTTATACTAAAACTATAGACAGAGAGAGAGCTTTTTACCTACTACCTACTTTAAAATAAAACATCAGTGTCAGCACAATTTCACGAAGGACAAGTCATTCTTGAAAAACGTGCTAGAGTTCTTTGAAGATGTAACCAGGAAGGTGGATAATGGGGTTTCACTAGATGTGGTATATCTAGACTTCCAGATTGCATTTGACAAGGTGCTACATAAAAGACTGAACCAGAAGGTTAGATCCTAGGGGGTCAGGGGTAGACTGCTGGCTTAGATAGAGGACTGGCTGACTGACAGAAAGCAGGTGGTCAGGATAAATGGGACTTTCTCTGGATGGTGAACTGTAACTAATGAAGTGCCACAGGGTTCAGTTCTTGGACCTCAGCTATTTACAATCTGTATAAATGATCTGCAAGCAGGGACAAAGTGTAACTTAGCAAAATTCATGGATGATACTAAAATACATGGGAAAGCAGGCTGTGATGGGGAGAGAAAGAGTTTACAGATGAATATTGGTAGGCTAGGAGAATGGGACTGAATCTGGCAGATGTAGTTTAATGTGGATAAGTGCAAGGTTGTCCATTTTAGCCAGAAAAAAAAAATGGGCAAATAATAACTAAAAGGGAAGCAGACTCAAAAGTGCATCCATGTGAAGGGATCTGGGCATCTTAGTGCATGAATCGTAGGAAGGGGGTATGCAGGTGCAGCATAAAATAAGAAAGGCAAATGGAATCCTGGCATTTATTGCAAAAGGACTGGATTATAAGAAGTAAAGAAGTATTGTTACAATTGTATAAGGCATTGATGAGACCAGACCCAGGATACCGTGTCCAGTTTTGGTCTACTTACTTAAGGATATGGTTGCAGTGGAGGTTCACCAGGTTGATTCCAGGGATGAAAGGGCTGTTGTATGAGGAGCGGTTGAATAGCTTGGACTTGTACTCGCTGGAGTTCAGAAGAATGGTGGGGCGTGGGGGAATCTGATTGAGATATATAAAATGCTATAATGGGATTGATAAGGTGGATGTTGAACAGATGTTCTCCCTTGTGGGACCATCTCAAACAAGAAATCATAGCTACAGAGTTAGAGGATGTAATTTCAAAACTGAGATGAGGACAAACTACTTCTCTCAGAGGGTTGAGAATCTGTGGAACTCTCTGCCCCAGAGTGCCATGTAGGCAGAATCAACAGATTCAAGAAAGAAATAGATATGTTTCTAATGAAAAGCAGAATAAACAGCTATGGGGAGCAAGTGGAGTTGAGACCAGGAGAAGATCAGCTCTGATCACATTAAATTGCAGACTCGAGGGGGTGAATTAACTACTCCGTTCCTAATTCCTAGGTTCCTATCACAAGCAGGTATTTCTGTTTATTTCACAAATAGAAGCAGAAAAGCCTGATAACTTACAAATCTTTTTCTGTTTATAATAAAACATCTAGTTACGACGTAAAATGTCTAGCTATAGCTAACTACGGATCTTTCAAAAACTATATAAAATAGATTCAGTTATTATCCTATGAGGCTGTCAAACATTTGAATTATGTTTGAAAGTAAAAAAATTTTGATTTTGGCATGGGTGCATGCAAGTTAGTTCCCATTATTGACAAATCAAAATAAACTCCTGAAAAATATGCATTTCCTTATCGCTTAATTTTTTATTATCCATACATACCCTGTAACAAACGTGCTTTCTCACAGGTTTGATCCTTTCCAACATCTTTCTTAGGGATAATAGAAGAGTAATTTCTTCCGAAGAAACCCCAAGGCAGCTCTAATAAAAAAGATGCAGGTATTTTTAGTTAGGTTGTCCATACAACAGGAATATTGAAGTGTCAATCATATTTTTCCATTGGTTAGAACTTTATGGAACATGAGCGTACCTAACATGAAGCTTTCATTTGTGACATTAATTCAGTTTTCTACTGTGTGTAATTGATAATACCAACGTACTGGAAGACAAGTGGCTGTGTATTCACAAACCAAATTAGCCAATGATTTAATATATGTAACAGTGCTGAAGAGTCATACCAGACTCAAAACATTAACTGTTTTTCTCTCCACAGATGGTGAGTTTCGCAGCATTGAGTTTGTTTAAGATTTCCAGAATCACAGTATTTTGCTTTTAAAATAACTACTTCATTTTTGTCTGTGCCTTCACAATAAATAAAGGAATCTGCATCTACATGTCTAGAAAAGATTCATATCCACATGCCTTTCATGACATCAGAGTGCCACAAAGTAGCACAGAGTCAGTGAGGTTCTTTTGAATTGTAGTCACTGTTATATTACATGAAATGTTGTAGCTAATTTAGGGACAAACAGCAATGTAATAACGACTAGACTTTTTTTTTATATGTTGGTTGAGGGATAAATATTGACCAAATTACCAGGGATAACTCCCTTTTCTTCAATGTCATGCTACAGGATTTTTGCATTCAATTTGAAGAACAGACAGAGAGGGCCTCTTAACCAAAAGATGGCAGTTGAAGACTGTAGCTATCACTTAACACTGCAATGGAATGTTATCCTTAACTATTTGTGCTTAAGGCCCTCGAGTGATAGTTGAACCCACAACTTCTGAAACCGAGACATGTGTTTTAATCAAATGACCATAATTTGCGATTGAAAACAGACAGGATCATGCGTTCGAACATGGCTTTTCTAGCAACTTCTGACTTTGGGAAAAGTCAACTTGGATTTAGATTTGAGTACTATTGATCCTTCAACATCACCTTCCAAACTCAGGATCCCTACTACTGAGAGAAGGAGGTTAGCAGATGCATAGGAATGTCACCTGTTACAAGTCCCCCTCCAAGCCACACAGAATCCTGACTTGGAACTACATTGCCATTCTGTTGCTGTCACTGGGTCAAAATCCTTAAACTCCCTTCCTAACAATGGGTCTACTGACATCCCTACAACTGCAGCAGTTCAAGAAGGCAGCATATTATCTTCTCATAGTCAATTAGAGGTGAGCAATAAATGTCCATCCAACCAGCTGTGCCCACGTTCAATGAATGACTAAAAAAGGGCAGCATAACTGGATAATGCACAAATGTCACAAACCTAGGACAATATTAAAACAAAATAAATAATGAATTCTAACAAAATGGATAATAACTTGACATCTGTCATTTTTGGTTACATGACATTCTGTGGCAGACGCATTGATGAGACCAGTTTAAAAATTAAGGGATATAAACTTTGGAAGTATTTGTGGAAATAATTCCTGGCTGTCATTGTTTCAATGGGTGGAATATGTAGTATGCAGTTATGATCAATTTATCAGATTAGCAGGTAAATTGGACAACAAAGAAATAAAAACCATTTCTACTCTATCATGAAGTTGGATCTACTGGTACCACAACATCAATTTTTTTTTAAATTTAAAATACTATTGAGTAGAAAGTGCAGTCTTACACTATGTAATCTCATCAACAATGTTGAAAATATCACGAGTGGTGATGGTTAATGGTAATATCACTGGATCAGTGATTCAAAAGCACAGGCTAATGTTATGGGGACACAGGTACAAATCCCATCAAGGTAGTTGGTGAAATTTAAATTCAACTAAATAAATAGATATGGAATTAAAAACCAACGTGCAAAACCACTGTTGATTGTTGTTAAACCCCACCTGGTTCACTGGCATCCTTTAGGGAGGGAAATCTGCTGTCCTTACTTATTCTAGTCCACAGATGACTCAAGCCCCACAGCAATGTGGCTATTTCCTAAGCACCCATGAAATAGCTCAGTAAGCCACAGTTGCATCAAACTGCAATGAAATCCAAAGAAGGATTGAAATCAGATGACCCATTGTCGAGGACACCGGAAATGACAACAAACCTAGCACTGTCAATCCCTGCAAACTCCTTCTTACTAAGATCTGGGAAAGAGAACTGAAAGCATAATATGACATCTAATGGATTGGTTGCATGGAAGCACCATCACCTGCAGGTTCTCTCCAAACAATACAACAAGCTGACTTGGAACTATGTTGTATTTCCTTACTGTTGCTGAGCCAAGTTCCTGGAATTTGGTACAAACAGCACTGTGAGCGCACCTTCACCACAATGATTTCATTGGTTGCGAGGTGGCATGGATCATCACTACCTTCACAAGGGCAACTAAGGATGGGCAATTAAAGCTGGCCTAAAGTCCTGGAAGTCTGGTGTCAAAGTTCCAGACGTGCACTGAAATCTCTGCTCAGAGATCCAAGCACATTACTTTGTCTTTACTTTTCCCATTGTGGACAATATGTGGACAGTGCTTTTTTTTTAAAATATCTTAGAAAATTGGAAACATTAGTATTTTAAAGAAGTTAAAAGTAAAGACATGAAATATAACAGCTACAAAGTAATTTAGTAAGTCAGAACATAAACTAATGTATAATGGAGACCAGAATTATCAAAGAATGACAGTAAATTTGATAGTTCCCAAAAACAATCACATGACCCCGACCAAGGAAATCAAACATTTTCCCAAAACAGCCAACACGCTGTTGTCAGCAGTGCTGCAATTATTTTAATTGAAGCTTTAAGACTCCTTCAAATGACTGATAAAAGTTTGAAATATAAATAGGGAAAGCAGAGAATGTGATTTCTGAACAGATGGAGAAGAGACAAGACAAATGGTCTTCTTCTGTGCTTTTAAATTCTAGTATTCTATGAATTTCAAAACTAACCCAGTAAATTTAGTGATAGTAGGAACTGCAGATGCTGGAGAATCTGAGATAACAAGGTGTAGAGCTGGATGAACACAGCAGGCCAAGCAGCATCAGAGGAGCAGGAAAGCTGACGTTTCGGGCCTCGATCCTTCTTCAGAAAAAGGGTCTGAAGAAAGGTCTAGGCCCGAAATGTCAGCTTTCCTGCTCCTCTG